CACACACACACACACACACACACACACACACACACACACACACACACTTCTACAGACACACACTAAATAACGATGTAATAGTACCCCTTCTCTCTCTCTCTCTCTCTCTCTCTCTCTCTCTCTCTCTTTTACACACGCTCGCACACACACTAACAAGCACGCACGCATCCTCTCTCCATCCCCCCACGCGTGCTGTCTGTCTGGTGGTGTAGTTGCCTCAGTTATTTCCCGCCCTCCACACACACACACACGCACGCACACACACACACACACACACACACACACACACAACTGTTGACAGCGTACAGTACATAACATGCATGGCCCAGCTGGCATGTCGTTGTGGCGTGTCGCGCTTGGGTGAAGGTCATTGCCACATTGCCACATTGCCCACATTGCCACATTGCCACATTGCCCACATTGCCACATTGCCACATACCACGGTACATGCGCCAGAGAGTTTGGTGGTACCCAAGGAGGTTATAATAATAATAAATAACAATAATAAATGACATTTATATAGCGCTCTGCCCCGATTAAAGTACACAGGCTCTGAGTCTGAGCGCTTTACAATACAGTACAGCGTACAACAGTAACATTTAACGTTGTGTTCTGACTAAAGAAAATAAGTAATAATATATAACATTTATATAGCGCTCTACCCCGATTAAAGTACACAGGCTCTGAGCGCTTTACAATACAGTACAACGTACAACAGTAACATAACGTTGTGTTCTGACTAAAGAAAATAAATAATAATAAATGACATTTATATAACGCTCAACCCCGATTAAAGTACACAGGCTCTGAGCGCTTTACAATACAGTACAACGTACAACAGTAACATAAAACGTTGTGTTCTGACGAAAAGAAAATCACTCCAAATATTCATCTTATTCATTTAAAAACAAGTAACGACTTCAGCTGACATTTGAATGAATCAAAAGATTTGATCTCTCTTAAAGTCTAAAAGTACATGTACTTGGTAAAGCGTTCCAGATCTTGGGGCCTTGGTATTCAAATGCCTTCTTCTCCAATGCACAGTTCCCTTAAGAATGGTCTTGGGCAGGTCACATGATCTTGTTATTTGGCCATACGCTCATTCTTCTTCTTCTTCCTCGTTCTCGATGACAGCAGCTAGACAGTCAGTCCGATGTCGCGTACAATCTGTGTAGTTTGCTTCGCTCAAACTTGTTAAACTTTTTCAAACTGAAAATGCTCAATGTGTCCCGTGCGCTCATATGCTAATATTATGATTTCGCAACTTCATTAGACAGACTGACAGGACAGACAGACAGACAGACACAGGCAGGCAGACATAATTCCAGAAAGCAAATTTTTTTCAGGAGAGAAAAACAAACGTTTATTTATTTTGTTTAACAATTTCTTTAGTCCTGCATTGTTTTTGGGTGTTTTTTTTTTTTTTTTTCATCGTTTAGAATTTTAATTTCTACAAAATTAGATATTTCTTAGCAAATGCAACCCATACCACAAATTAAGAAACTACAACCAAAAATAAAAAATAATATTCTAAAAGCAAATTTTCGGCTTATTACATCGAATCTGGACAACTGGTCGAGGGTATGATCAATAGCTGAATGTACGAGAATTCAGGGGAGAACAAACAGAGAGCTTGTGATCGTCTGTGTGTGTTTGTGCTTTGTTCTAGATGTGTGGATCCATCGCTACGTCACAGTGTGTGTGTGTGTGTGTGTGTGTGTGTGTGTGTGTGT